GTAAAAGTGACTTTTTACATAACTTTTTCATCTCTTTTTCATCCAAACCCTCAGTTGAGAGTCTCTCTCTCTAGAAATACCCCCTCTCTCTACATTTGACCTAGATCTAGTGGTCTTCTCACCCTCCTTCCTTAGACAAAAAGATTAAGCTCTTCAAGATCTTCATTTCCATCCAAGAAGAAGTGGGATTTTGCCATTTTTGGAAGCTTCACCTTTGTCTAGCCTTTCTCCTTGGGCTTCTACTTGGAGGTAGGGTTATTCTTGAGTTATATATATAGTTTTGCTATTTGATGATGTTTTAAGAGTTTCTATTAGATTTAAAATTTTCAATCTTGTGGTTTTGAAAATGTAGAGATTTCCTTCAAAAGAAGACTTAGTTCTAAACTTTAAAAAGGTAAATTATCTTGAGGGGTTCATCTTGTTGATCTATGATAAATGTTTTGATGAGGGTTTCCACAAGCAAAAAGGGAAAAGTGATTATCTTGAGGAAAAACCTTAGAAATTGGGGGATTTTGAAAACACATGGAAATATTTGTGAAACTCTTTACTATTTTGTATTATGATGATGGGTGAGACGATATTATTGCAAAGTTGTTAAAAATGTTGAAAATGTATGTTGTTGGGAGTGATGAATGACTTTGTATCATGATTATGAAACTTCGTAAGATCTTGGAATTGTGTTGAGAACATAGTTTGCCTTGAAGGGATTATTTGTTGTAAATTGTTGTTGTGAGAAATGGTGGGCACATGGGCATTTTGTGAAATGACTTGAAGGGAAGAAATGAGAGATGATTGGTTGATATTGTTGTAGAGATATTTTGCGAATAGTAATTATTGCATCATATTTCAATTTATCATTATTATTGTGCACCATGGCATGTTTTGGAAAGACATTTATTTTGAGAAAGATCATATTGTAATGAGAATTATGGAAATGTGAATGGGGTAAATACATGGTAAGTTTGAATAGGGGGTGTAGTTGAATTTGATAAGTTGGCCTGATTGTCCTTGGTGAAAAACCAGAAAATCGCGCAGATAGGTGTCGAGCCTTCCGGTTAATACCGGTAAACATGACAGTTTGGTAGTACTCGTAGAGTCTACTTGCAGACACCAGCCTAGGGATTACCAGTGTCGTATTTACTGCCCCTATTGATTAATGATTGGAAATTTTGGTAAAAATGTTGGGATTGTAAACAATTGTTGGAAAGATAGAAACTTTTAAATGTACATGAAATGGACTTTCTTATAAGGATGCATGGCATGGCATTAACAATTGCATCATTTTAAAGAGTATGCATAACTGTACATACTTTGTAAGAATTCTCTACTGGGCTTTGTGCTCACCCCTATGGGATTTGGTGCAGGTAAAGATGTGGTGATCCCGCCGAACTGAGGGTGTGGATGTTTTTGAGAAGAGTACATAGCTCTTTTATTTTGTGTAATTCTTTTTGAGCCAAGGACTAATGTGTATGGGTTGCAGAACCATTTTTGTGTGACCAGGCTTATGCCTTGGAAGATGTAAGCCCTTAAGGGCATTGTATTGTTCTGAGAATGGATGCTTGACATGCTATAGATTCATATGTTTGTATTGATGAATGTATACCCACATGTAAAACTTTAGTAAAGTCTCATTAGTAATTATGTAAAGATGGGCAAATTATTGTTATTGCTGGGTAAATGTTGATTATTTATTGGTAGTTCATGTTGAATTATTTCGGGGCGTTACAACTTGGTATCAGAGCTACCATACTTGGGGCTCGCGGGAAGTGATTGTTATACCACAATGGGTTTATTTCGCATGATTAGGAAATGTCTTGTTTATTTGTGACTATGTGACTATGTGGGTATGGGATTAGACTTTTGGGATGTTGTTTGCGCCTATTAGTTTCCTTGAAGTCTTTTTAGAAGGGTACTTGATCACTACTCATTCTACTGAGAATTCTTGGTTTCTCATGGGACAAATTTCATCACTGAAGGATGATTCGTATGTGTTTATGTGACTAAGGTGCTTATGTGGAGTGAATTAAAATGTGGTGTAGTAGGAAGCATGAGGTTGCTTTAGCCTAACATGTGAAGCTAGTAGCGAGCACATTTGGAATCGTGTGCTTAATTATTTACCTTGTCTCTCAATTAGGATGTCAGGAAGAGTTCGAACCCGAGGTGGTAGGGGTGGCAAGCGAGGTCGAGTCACCAGGGTGTATTTCCAAGAGGTCCCGGTACAAGAAGAGGGTTTAGGCCAAGCCGACATGGCCGAATAAGTGGGGCAAGCGGAGGTGCCAGGGCAAGTCGGCCAAGCCGCAATGGGGGCCCTAGCCCAGGAGATAGCGGGGGCATTGAGGGAGTCCATGAACATACTGAGGGTGGAGATCCAAGTGAGGGAGAATGTCGCCGAGACTAGAGCTAGCTTCCTCACGATGGAGTTTTTAAGGACCAAGCCGGATGAATTCCATGGCGGTCCTGATCCAAAGAAAGCGGACGAATGGTTGGAACAAACTGTGAAGACCTTCGAAATGCTTCACATAGATGATGGCGAGTTGAGGGTGACCCTTGCTAGTTATTACCTTAAAGGTGACGCCAGCCAATGGTGGAAGTATGCAAAGGGCCGGATAGCACCGACATGGGAGGCATTTGTGACGGCCTTCCAAGACAAGTACCTACCTCCCACGGCTCGGGAGAGGTTGAAGCAGGAATTCAAGGACCTTAAGCAATTGAATATGTCTGTGGCCGAATTTGAAGCAGCCTTTTCTAGTTTGTCCCGATTTGCACCGAAGTTGGTAGCGACGGAGGAACGCCGTTGCTTTGAGTTTGAGCAGAGGTTGAGGACAAAGATTTTGTTCAAGGTTGCCGGGAACATGATCCAAGAGTATGATCGCCTTGTGGAGGCGGCTGCACATGTGGAGATTACGGTGGAGGCCAAGGAGGAGAGACTTCGAAATTTGAGGTCTAGGGGCCATGGATTGCAGGGAGATTATAGGCCCAATAAAAAGAGTAAGAGTGTCTTTTTATCCCAGCCTCAGCAGCAACAGTGTAGATCCATAGTTCCCTTGCCTAGTACGGGCTCGGGAAGGAGTGCACCGAGTGAGGTTTCTTACTTCAAATGTGGCCAGCCGGGTCACAAGGCCTTTACATGTCCGCAGAAAGGGGAAGGACAGCAGATGTTGCCACCACCAACGCCTAACCGATCCCAGAGCCAGTCTCAGTCTCAGAGTAGGGGGTAAGGGCCTACTTGTTATCAGTGTGGTCAGTTAGGGCACATGAAGAGAGCTTGCCCACAGTTGGGAGGTGCATCTGGCGCATCCGGGTCGAGGCAGACCCAGAGTCATCAGCAGACCCATTCAATCCAGACTTCGAGAGTCCATCAGGGAGCCGCCTCAGCTTAGTTAGTACAGCAGGCTTATGTTCCGAGGGATGAGCAAGTTGATCAGAGGCCATAGGGGTGCGTGTATGCTGTTACAACGCCAAAGCAGTTGCCAGGACCCTCGGTTGTGAGAGGTATTTTTATTGTGTGTAATTCTTTGGCCAATGTGTTGATAGACACAGGTGCGTCTCATTCATTCATATCTGCTGCATTCGTATCTACATTAGGGTTAGAAGTGGTACAATTAGCGTCTCCGCTCAGAGTTGATTCACCGGTTGGGGGTACAGTTGACCTAGATCGGGGATGTCATGATTATGAGATAGAGGTTGTCGGGCATAGGCTCCCATCTGCTTTTGTGTTGTTAGACATGTCCAGTTTCGATGTTATTCTAGGCATGGATTGGTTGTCATTGTATCGGGCTGTGATTGATTGTTTTCGGCAAAGAGTCACAGTGTGCACTTCGGGTGGCGATTGTTTTTATTTTTTGGGGGATAGGGTTTATCGGGTTTTATCACCGGTGTTTGATCCTCGTAGTAGGAACGAGCTTACCGACTTTCTAGCTACTCTCTTGGATGGTGAGAGTGTCGGAACTCGAGTTGAGTTGCCAAGGGTAGTGTGTGAATACTTGGAGGTGTTTCCCGATGACCTTACCAGTTTGCCACCCCACCTGGAGATTAAGTTCACTATCGACTTAGTGCCTGGAACGGCACCCATTTCTATGGCGCTGTATAGATTTGTGCTCGCGGAGTTGCATGAGTTGAAGATTCAACTCCAAGAGCTTTTAGACAAAGGCTTCATTCGCCCTAGTACATCGCCTTGGGGAGCACCGGCTCTCTTTGCAAAGAAGAAGGATGGATCGTTATGGTTGTGTATCGACTACCGCAAGTTGAACCGAGTCACTGTCAAGAACAAAAACCCTTTACCCAGGATAGATGACTTGTTCGATCAACTTAGAGGGTCTTGTTGCTTTTCGAAGATAGACTTGAGGTCGGGGTACCACCAGTTAAGAGTCCGGGAGGAGGACATCCAGAAAATGGCCTTTCGTACGCATTATGGCCACTACGAGTTCCTAGTAATGCCATTTGGGTTGACTAATGCACCAGCTTCTTTTATGGATTTGATGAACCGAATATTTAGGGAGTACTTGGATCATTTTGTGGTCGTCTTCATGGACGACATCCTTATCTATTCGACCTCTGAGGAGGAACATGAGACTCACTTGAGGATTGTGCTTGACTTGCTTAGGGAGCATCAGTTGTACGCCAAATTTGAGAAGTGTGAGTTTTGGCTCACCAAGGTGAAGTTTTTGGGCCACGTCGTGTCAAGAGAGGGAGTAACAGTAGATTCCTCGAAGATAGATTCTGTGCAAGATTGGGAGCAACCTAAGAATGTTTTTGAGATTCAGAGTTTCTTGGGGTTGGCGGGGTACTATCATCAATTTGTAAGGGATTTCTCTAGATTAGCCGTGCCTTTGACTAGATTGACCAGAAAGGGGGTTAAGATTGTGTGAAGTGAGGCTTGTGAGAAGTCTTTCCAGGAGCTCAAATTTAGATTGACCACGGCGCCAGTATTGATCATTCCGGAGAGAGGATTGGGGTATACTGTCTTTTGTGATGCGTCTCAAGATAGGCTTGGTTGTGTTTTGATGCAAGAGGGAAAGGTTGTAGTGTATGGCTCCCGACAGTTGAAAACTCATGAGAAGAATTACCCTACCCACGACCTAGAATTAGCCGCAGTAGTGTTTGCCTTAAAGATTTAGAGGCACTATTTGTATGGTGAGAAGTTTGAAGTTTTCTCCGACCATAAGAGCTTGAAGTATTTATTCTCCCAGAAAGATTTGAATCTAAGACAACATAGATGGATGGAATTTTTAGAAGACCATGATTTTGAGTTGCGCTATCATCCGGGCAAGCCCAATGTGGTGGCCAATGCCTTAAGTCGAAAAATCGTGAGTAGCTTGGTGAGCGTAGCCAATAAGGAGTGGGTTATGTTGGGTGAAGTTGGAAAATTTGAATTGCAGTTGGGTGAATCAAGAAGGAGGTGCGACCTTGTTTAGCTTGAGTGCACAACCTGTCTTGATTAGCAAAGTCATAGAGGCACAACAAGGAGACCAGGAAGTGGAGTTAATCCGGGATAGAATCACCAATGGATAGGAAGAGAAGGGTTTGAATATTCGCTCGGATCAGGGCGTACATTACTTAGATCGCCTGTTTGTACCTGAATCTTGTAGAGAGGAAGTGCTTCGGGAGTTCCATCACTCACACCTTGCGGTACATCCGGGAGGCACCAAAATGTATCGAGACCTTAACCGTCAGTTTTGGTGGAGGGGTATGAAGCGGGATGTCGCATCCTTCGTGTCAAAGTGCCTTACTTGTCAGCAAGTCAAGGCCGAGCATCAGAGACCAGCGGGTTTGTTACAACCCTTACCAATAGCCGAGTGGAAATGGGAGCACGTGACCATGGACTTTGTAACTGGGCTTCCTAGAACGCAGCGGGGCAATGGTGCCATTTGGGTGATTGTTGATAGATTGACTAAGTCCACACACTTCATTCCTATGCAAACTAGCGACTCAGTTGAGCACTTGGCAGAGTTGTATGTTAGGGAGATAGTCCGGCTTCATGGGGTGTCGGTCACCATTGTGTCAGATAGGGATCCTTGTTTTACCGCCCAGTTGTGGCAAAGCCTTCAAGAGGCATTGGGAACCAAGTTAACGTTTAGCACCGCTTATCACCCTCAAACCGATGGGCAGTTGGAACGCACCATTCAAAATTTAAAGGACATGCTTAGAGCTTGTGTCCTAGATTTCAAGGGGTCTTGAGAGAGACATTTACCATTGATTGAATTCGCCTATAATAATAGTTATCAGGCTAACATTGAGATGGCACCGTTTGAGGCCTTGTATAGCCGACCGTGTAAGTCACCCGTTTGTTGGGCCGAGGTAGGTGTTGCACCGTTGTTGGGACCGGAGATTGTTAGGGAGACTACCGAAAAAGTTGCTCTCATTCGGAAGAGATTAGCCACGGCCCAAAGTCGACAAAAGAGTTACGCTGATAAGAGGAGACGACCCTTATCCTTTGATGTGGGTGATCACGTGTTTCTTAAGATCTCTCCTAGGAGAGGTTTAATGAGGTTTGGCAAGAGCGGGAAGTTGTCTCCGAGGTTCATTGGACCTTTCAAGATATTGGAGAGAATCGGAGAAGTGGCCTACCGGTTAGCCTTACCGCCACAACTTTCGGGGGTTCACAATGTGTTTCATGTGTCAATGCTTAGGAAATATGAGCCCGACCCTTCTCATGTGCTAGATTGGGTTGATTTGGAGGTAGATAAGGACGCCTCTTATGAGGAGCGACCGGTTCAAATTCAAGATACCCGAGAGCAAGTGTTGCGGGGTAAGACCATACCGTTAATGAAGGTGTTGTGGAGGCACCATGGGGTCGAGGAAGCAACTTGGGAAAGGGAGGCGGAAGTCCTCTCCAAGTATCCGGATTTATTTGAGCATGTTTAGTTGATTTGATTTAAATGGTAATGTTTCCTTATGGTGAATGGAAAATGTGTTAAATTGATGATCAAATGTTGTTGTATGTATTATTAAATTGAGTATGAGGTTGTGTAGGCATGATGTTTTGCTATGGATGCCTTATTTTATATGTCTTGTAAAAGCACATATGGTTTTGATGAAATGATGATGAAAGGAACGATAAATGATAATTGAACATAAATGTTACGACTTGAGCATGTGGTTGAATTGATTAAAATTGCTACAACCTTGGTTTGGTGTTTTGTTTAAATTTCGAGGACGAAATTTCCTATGGTGGGGAGGTTATGGCGACCCCGGGTCTCTACCCGACTGTCATGGTATTCTGGATCCAAATCTTGTTGTTTGATGCTGCTGGTTATGTCTTTCTTCCTTATACCTCTTGAATTTGAGTTTTGGAATGACTTGAGCGTGTTTAGAACAGGTTGGTTGCCTTTTGGTCTAGCATATTGTTGCCCAAATTTTCGGCCTTCCATTCGAGCGAGACTTCTTGCGCTCGAGCGGAGCTTGCAACCTTTCAGTATCGAGTGTCTCTGCAAAAGTGCTGCAAGAGTGTTTTTCACGCTTGAGCGGCGTTACTTACGCTCAAGCGTGTCTGAGCTCGAGCGGCCCTTCTGGCGCTCGAGTGGCTATCTGCAATCTGTGAAATACTGGGCGGGTGAAATCCATGCTCGAGCAGTTCTCTTTGCGCTCGAGCGGGTTGTTGTTGCTGTGTCTGACGCTCGAGCGTGAAGCCCTACGCTCGAGCGGGATTTGCGTATATCAGTTCGTAAAAGCAACTTTTTATATAACTTTTTCATCTCTTTTTATCCAAACCCTAAGTTGAGAGCCTCTCTCTCTAGAAATACCCCCTCCCTCTACATTTGACCTAGATCTAGTGGTCTTCTCACCCTCCTTCCTTAGACAAAAAGATTGAGCTCTTCAAGATCTTCATTTCCATCCAAGAAGAAGTCGATTTTGCCATTTTTGGAAGCTTCACCTTTGTCTAACCCTCCTCATTGGGCTTCTACTTTGAGGTAGGAATATTCTTGAGTTATATATACTAGTTTTGCCCTTTTTATGATGATTTAAGAGTTCCTTCTAGTTTGTGATGATATTAACCTTGTGATTTCAAAATGTAAAGGTTTTTCCTCAAAAGAGGGTTTTTGTTTTAACTCTAAATTTTTGGTCAATCCTTGAGGGTTCATCTTGTTGACCTAAGAAAAGAAATGTTTTGGATGAGAGTTTTCACCATGAAATGGGAAGTGATTGTTTTGAGAAAAAGCCCTAGAAATTGGGGATTTTGGTAATATGGTAAATGTCTATGAAATTCTTATTGTCTTGTTTTAAAAGGATGAAAAGAGTGAGTTGCATCAATGTTTGACAAAATGGAAAATTACTTGTTATATGAAAATAAGGTGTTAATGTTAAATTGTTGGCAACACATAAATGCGTAAGGTTATGGCGAAACTAATTTGTTATGTCTTGTGATATGAAAATTGTGACTACGTGTTGATGAAATATATTAATCATGTGGATGAACATTGAAAAGAGAAGATGAGAACGTGAATGTTGACATTGTAGTAGAGATACTCAAAAGTGGAGAAATGTCTTAAGTTATGGAAAGGATCATTTGCATTGCATGTTATTTTATTTATTATAATACACTGTGAATCTAAATCAATGAGATTTCCATCATGAGGAAAAGAAATAGTTGTTGTGTTGAGAACTATGAAAATGTGTAAGGGGTAAATATGTTGGTAAGTCTAGATAGGAGGTGTAGATGAATTTGATAAGTTGGCCTGAGTGTCCAGGGTGAAATAGGGGGTGTAGTTGAATTTGATAAGTTGGCCTGAGTGTCCTTGGTGAAAGACCAGAAAATCGCGCGGATAGGTGTCGAGCCTTCCGGTTAATACCGGTAAAAATGACAATTTGGTAGTACTCGTAGAGTCTACTTGCAGATACCAGCCTAGGGATTACCAGTGTCGTATTTACCGCCTTATCGATTAATGATTGGAAAATTGGGTAAAAATGTTGGGATTGTAAACAATTGTTGGAAAGATAGAAACTTTAAAATGTGCATGAAATGGACTTTCTTATAAGGATGCATGGCATGGCATTAACAATTGCATCATTTTAAAGAGTATGCATAACTATACATACTTTGTAAGAATTCTCTACTGGGCTTTGTGCTCACCCCTATGGGATTTGGTGCAGGTAAAGATGTGGTGATCCCGCCGAACTGAGGGTGTGGATGTTTTTGAGAAGAGTACATAGCTATTTTATTTTGTGTAATTCTTTTTGAGCCAAGGGCTAATGTGTATGGGTTGCAGAACCATTTTTGTGTGACCAGGCTTATGCCTTGGAAGATGTAAGCCCTTAAGGGCATTGTATTGTTTTGAGAATGGATGCTTTACATGCTATAGATTCATATGTTTGTATTGATGAATGTATACCCGCATGTAAATCTTTAGTAAAGACTCATTAGTAATTATGTAAAGATGGGCAGATTATTGTTATTGCTGGGTAAATGTTGATTATTTATGGGTAGTTCATGTTGAATTATTTTGGGGCGTTACAGATTCCAAGCGTTTTATATCCACTGCCCTGTTTTCTGATTTAAAAAGTATTGTTTTATGAATTGATATACATATAGCTGAGACATTGCATTGTTTTGAAAGAGAAAGCGTAATGTTTTGGCAAAATGGCATGCATTGCATTCACCATATGACTTTGTTAAGCTCCATACGTTATGTTCAAGTATCTTTACTGGGCTTTAGCTCACCTTATGTGAAAAATAACTTTCAGGTGCTGATGATATGCCTCCACCAATGACGTAACTTTGAAGGACTTGGAGCCTTGAACTTCTTTTTGTTTCTTTTGTGTAATTATTTTTATACAAGCTTTGGGCTTTCTATTTATTAAGTTTAACTTACTTTTGTTGTACTCAAGCATTGACTTGGAAAGATGTAGCCATTAGGACATAAATTTATCTATTTTTCCTTTTATTCCAATTCATTTACACATGTCATATACTATAGATTCAAAATCTAGAATTTATGAATGTATATATGTATGTCATCTTTTGTATGGTAACAAAGTATCGATGAAAGGTTAATTATATATAATTTGCTGCTTTTCCATTGAAAATCATGAGGTGGTTTGTTGTTATATTTTTGGGATATTACATCATTCATTCATTCTCATAAATGTACGTACTCATTTCATAACAAAAAAATATATCAAAAATACAGTTAATGAGATATCAAATTGTCAAATAACACAATTAATCATAAATCAGTCTATAAAAGCATAAACAACTGTTATGGATTACATTCAAGACCTATTCAATTGGCAGTTTCTTAATTGTCTTTAACAATAATCCTTTCATCAATTGATTTGTACTTAAAAGTTGTGTACTTACATGTTTTATTGACACTTCTGTTTCTGAAGCTTTTTGTTAACAACAAAATATTTTCAATTCTATGTGTTTAACATAATTAGAATATTTGTCATTATGTGAAAATAAAATAATTGTGAAATAATCACAATAAATTCTCAACAACTTGATAAGAAAGTCGACAATTCCAAATCCTGAGACTAAGTTTCGCAATAATGAATTGTGGTCTCAAAGCACA